TTGATCCTCTTGTATCCCATGGATTACATTGGTGTCTCTAGACCATAGTTAATGGTGAAATCCATGTGGTTGAGACTGGTGTCAGATTTGATGTTGGAACATTGTTTCAAAGTGTGTTTTATTCCTTCAGCTAAGGAAGTTGTTGTTATCTAGAATGGATTTTAAGGTCAACCCATTGGCCTAATCTGGAATAGTGAGAATTAATCAGTTGGTACCAGACGTATGCAGAAGAAGGTTGTCAGACCAAATGTCCTACCTTGTGTGACAATGTAATCTTATTTGATTGATGGTGAATACTTTGACAAAATACTAAGTAGTTGTCTGAGGAGTACTATAATTCTTCATTCTTAACATTATGGTTCAAAGAATATGTGAGAGTTTATTTTTCTCCATGGCATTCAGGTGTTTGGAAAAACCTGATTAAGTTGCACTGGCTTTGTGTTTTATTGGGAGCTACGTAAAGGATTTATAAGCATAATGAGTCCTTTTAATTGATTTGAGAACCATAGTGATTGGGTTCTGTATTATGGAGTTGATGTCCCACATGATGTCTTAACATCATGATTGTTGATGGCTGTTTTGCTTTTACTACTTAGGATTGTGCATGTGAAGATTGGATTGTCAATCATTATTGTCAAAAGTGGCATTTCTGACTATGTGGATTAGAATGTGGAGAATCTAATTCTATCTACAATAGTATTCCTGATGAATGCATGACTACTTTGTTGAAGACTTCACTAGTATAAGCAACTACTAGTGGATGTAAGGGAAGAAACACTGCTGATACATACTGAGGTCTGAGCAGATTATTTTCATAAGGTGTTTTTCTTCTGCTGCAAGGCACTACAGAAAAGGTTTGGTGATCTAGATCTTAATAAAGCTTTTAAGAAGAATAAGAATTTTCGGAGTTTGTGAGTGACTTCACACCTAGTATGCATGACATCTTGTGTATTCAAAAGGTTATTATACAGAGTGTGGTTATGAAAGGACAATATCCAGATGTGTCCTTGAATAAGTCAGGGTATTTGACTCTGGTTTAAATCTACTGAGGGAGTCGGGGTTCAGCATATGCAGGAAGCGTTGTTTTTCAACATGAAAGAATGAATTCTTTCATGTATTTTCATCTAATGCTCAAGTTTTATTCTTCAACTGGAGCATTGGTTATTCATGACAAGGGGAGTCATGTAATTGTATGTGGGTTGTTGTTTCAATGATACAAATATTGTTTGGGTGTTGTTCAAGATTGTGGAGATCTTATGCCTCTTATAAGGATATGATGTCAAACAACATGTTGTTACATTATTAAATTTTTTTGAGGATATTAACAAGGAATGGTTGGTCTTAGCCATGTGAAGCTGGTAGATCAGAAGTTCAAATATCTCTCTGGTGATTAATGGGTATGTCTGGGAGAACTTATTTTTCTCTAGAGATGTTAAAAGGACTCTTCAGGTCTTTATTATTGAGAGAGATGTCATAAATATGATATTATATTGTCTTGGTGTGTGTCACGAAGTCTAAGTGAAAGAAGTTCACTTAGAATCCAACGGAAGACAGTACGGTTGAAGATGTGTTGATCAATTTTTTTTCAAGTAAAAATGTCAGACTGAATGTCAGGACATTATTCAGGACAGGTCTCATGTGTGATCAATAAAGGTGTTTTGGTGGACAGTTTGATCAAACCCATTTCAGTAAGCGTGTTTAACTGAGGATGTGAATTTATTTGGACTTGTTTTTCTCAAAAGAAACAGTCCATAGATGATAAAGGCATGAAAAGCTGTTTTGAAAAGGACATATTGATTTTAGCAGTATTTTTCTCCTTCTTTAATGGGCTCGTTGACCAAGAAACCTTGTTTTTATTTAAAGCTCGTTAATACCTAAGTAACTACTTAGCTATTTATAGAGGTTTCTCCTACTCTCTTTCACCATATGAGTGTTCGTCATCATAATGGGTTTTTTTTGTATGTGGGTAAGTTGTGCTTAAGTCTGGTGTTGTGAAAGCTTTCTTTTCCAAGTTTTGGCTAAAAAGGGGGAGAAAGATGATCAAAGTGCTTGGCTGATTAATTCGGGAGGTTGTTTTCTAGATCAATCACAAAGATGTTGGACCGAATATCATATCTCATGTCTTCTTAGGTTAAGCTTTGTGACTTGTGATCTGAGTTATGAACACAGTTGTGACCTGTGTTCTGAGTTACCGGGGATGATGGTTGATTTGTATAGGTCTATTGGTGGCCGCTGATAATCAAATAAGAAAGGATTATCTTATGCCATCATTGATATTTCAAAGATGTACTTGTTTGAGGGGAGTGCAAACTATCTTATCTCTCATGTACACCAACATACTTCAGAACTTTCTACTCCTTTTCCTGAAGGTGTTATTCGTTGGTGTTGAAGCTATCGTTGCAATGGAGTTCATTCAAAATGCTGAAAAGAAGATGTCAAACAAAGATGTCCCAACATCATTACTGAAGACTGACTTTATGGGGTTATGTTGTAGTGTTCAACAGTTGCTGAAGACTACTGTTGATGGGTGTTTTTTTATTGCTATAATATTGGATTGTATTTTTAATTATTTGTTTTAGCCAAAATTTGTCAAAGGGGAAGATTGTAAGTTCCTTAGTTTTAAGGATTGGCATTAATTTTTGTAAAACTAATATAGCAACAATATGTTAGATAAGTTGTATTAACTTGTTAATAAGAACAGGTTGAGTAAGAAGTCATATCTTATGTTAGGACATGTTAAGTTGAAGTGTTTCAATGTCTGGAATAACATGCCAGATAAGATGTCCAATGAAGGAGCATACGACATCGCGCCAGAGTTGAAGTAGACAGTTAGATTCTGTTATGATTTAACTGGTGCAGAATATTGTGGGAATATTATGCAATCTTATGTGGCGCTAATTTAAAGGTCAAGAAGAATCAAATCAGAATATTGAAGATCATACAGTTTCTAAATATGGAGATATTTTAGGAAACTAATGATTAAAGACATTGTTTGTAGCAGAAGTTGCTATTGGTTGTTACAGCTGATATGTTGTATTTTGAAGGCCCAAATCCAGTTGGGTATAGGTTATAAATAGAAGTGTTTGTAACCCAGGAAAGGCACGGGTTCAAGATGTAGAAGTCTAGGGCTTTATCTTTTTACCGCTCTCTAGGAGAGTTGGTCTAAGTGAACAACTCGGATTATGAGATGATCACTATGACCTTACTCAAAAACCTGTAGGTAATGAGTTGAGTATTGTTCTTGGAGGAAGCGTTGAAGAAACTCCAAGTTATGGTCTTAGTCAAGAGTCTTGGCTAGAGATTTCCATGGAAGTGTGTCTTCATGTTTGTGTCCAATCGATGTTTGTGATTAAAGAGCGATTGAGGAGGGCCTCATATCTAGGTGAGTCTTAGATAGAAATATATCACAACTAGTGATTAACTTAGAAGATGTAAACGAGAGAGATTTGCATCGATATGATACTATCATAGTGGATTTGTCCCTGGCTTGGTATGCCTCCAGAGTATGAGAGTTTCTTCGAACTGGGTTAGCAATTCTGGTGTGTTGTTTATGCTTTTCAATTATATTTTTATTGTTGATACCTTGCATGTTTGTTTATGTCGGATCAACATGTCATAGTACATCTTAGTTCCTTCATATCAGAATTTCAGTTTGGATGTCTCAAAACAACACCTCAAAACAGACATGTTTCCCCAAGTCTATTAAACGTCCACGCCACGTAGGCGCTTGCGAGCCCGTACGCCTTCGACTAAGGGACTCGCCTAATATTTCACTCGCCCTTCATTGAGGGACTCACCTATAAGAGGAGCACCGCCACCAAGTGAAATCGTTCTCAGCAAAGGGAATTGTCGTTAGGGCGAGGGACGCATTCTAGAAATGAGAGTAGTTTTAAATGCTTCGCCTTTTAAAGAAAAATGTCCATGTGCTTGAGGGAATGTGTAATGTTATATTTGGTAAAACCCCCTGACTAGGACGCCCTCGCCCAATAGTTGGATCTCCCAGGCGGGATTCAAGGGAATTACCCGAGAAGTCCTACAAGCGTGGAAGTCAAGCAAGAGCAAGTTCTCGCTGACTCTGAAAAGATAGGCGGTCAATAATCTCCCTTAGTAAGAAGTGATTAGTTAAGACCGCATCTACAAGGTAAAAATCTTAGGTCATCGAGCCCTCTATAAATACATTATCCCTCAAAGGAATAAGAGACAGACTCTCGATCATACACTATCTCCACTACTCAAAGAGCACTACGCTCAATACCACCATAACATCTATTGTTAATCTAATCGTCTACCTATAACTTTGCAGCGCCAGCCTCCTGCAGGATCTATCACCTCACCTGAATTGATCCTAAAACAGTCTAAAAAAATCACCGTACAAGACTTCTCGCCGTCGTGAACACGCATTCACCATTCAAACGTGTAATATACCTACTAAGGCATCTAAATCTTTCTGCCTTTGCAGGAAAAACATGCACACCCAATACTTTTTTGACCAATACACATACTATTATTTCTCATTTTTAATTAGTTGAGTGTCAATATTTTTAATATTTAATAAATTCAAAGTGAAATGAGAAATACGGATAATAATATATCTAAAATAACTTAAACCTAAGATGAAATTAACATTTAAAACTAAAATAAATTTAATTTTAAAAATTTTCAAAACATACAACAAATATATTTTTCTTTTTCTTTTCCCACTTGTAAAAAAAAAAAAACATACAACAAAAAGATTACCCTGAATGGCCTTAAATGATTCTTATTACGTTGAGATTCGCTCGTAAATAGTGTGAATAATGCAACAAAAAACTAATCTTTCCTCGAGCATTAGTTAGGCGTGTGATAGGTACAGGAAAGAATAATGCAAGCCAAAATTGTATTATCATCATGCAATAATATGGTGTATGTTTCATTTGTGGAGAATTGAATAGAGTGGGGTTCTGCTTATATGGAAAGTTGAACTTTTGGCTATCAAAAAATAAGGTGGGGTTTCTGCTTACATGGAAAGTCTAATTCTTGGCGATATGAAGAAGGCGACGAAACTAGCTATCGTGAAACAAAATCATCTACAGAGGTGTGTGGCCTCTTTGTCAACAGGACAAACAAACAGTTTCTCCACTTCCATCATAATTTTCTTTTACCCCATATTGGAGTGGGAATCAACTTATTGAATTAAGTATTACTTGACTTTAGATTTAATCACTTTTATCAAAATGAATTTTATGATCAATTTAAAACTTGTATCGTATGCTTATATTGACATTTATTTTTGTCGATTTCCTTTTAGATCAATGTACTGTGCCCTTATATGCTTCATACTTGGGATATTGTGTATCAATATGTTTATATTGACCCAAGGTCCACTTGACATCAATCAACATATGTCCATTGAACATGAAGCCCATAGTGTGTTGAGGAGGGGAAAGGCGAGCTCAAGCAAGAAACGCAAGAGCTTGCCATCACGAAGGAGTTGGCGAGCTCGCTCGGCCTCTTGGCCGAAGTAAATTAAGAGTGGGATATCAATCTAACACTGTTTATTCATCAATGGCTCATAAATAATGGGCTTAATTAGATTTATAAATGTTTAGAAATGGAGATAATATTGCTAATGGTCGTTATGCATATACAAAGGGGTCAACATTAACTGATGTAAATGGGATAGAAGCCATAACTAAGAGTGGGATATTAACCTAACACGGTTTACTCATCAATGGCTCATAAATAATGGTCTTAATGAGATTTGCAAATGCTCAGAAATGGATACAATATTGCTAATGGTCGTTATGCCTAGACAAATGGGTATCAACATTAACTGATGTAAATAGGATAGAAGTCGTAACTGGTGCGAAGTCAAACTCACCAATGTGGGTCTTGAATGTTTGTTTCGTGGAAGACTGGTTTCTTTTACTCATGAATACTTTCATACTCATTTCGATCTAGAGTACAAAGGAATTGAAGTGTGACAGTGAACTATCCCAAGGTTCAACCGTGCTGAGTTTGTGGCAACAATTTCCTAATCATTGTTCACATATTATCTGAACATTGAGAACTTCTTAATTAGCCAGATGAAATTGGAAATAAGAATGTTGTGCTGGGTAACTGTGAAAATTCTATACAGAAAACTGAAGAATTGGGCTAGTGTTGATGACCAAGATTTATTCCTTAGGCAACTTCTTTTGAAACAAAAGGAAGTAATTAGGTAAATTCATCATGGACCAAGTTCTTATATGTAAGTCTCAGGTGAAGTTTCTGGTGTTATACATTTATTTCATCCAGTACATCTTAGAGAATAATGGGGTTTGTCATAATGAGTCAGATCTTGTGAAGGCGCCGAGACTATTCGATGACATTGCAATTAAGTTGATGCAATATTATCAAGACGGGAATGGTGACTACTACTATCTAGACATGTATGGAAAAATCTATGAAGATTGGTTCAAAGAGAATGATAATACTCCAAAAGGCTATGTTCCTTGGAAGGTTCTATCTTCATTTGTTCCACCTTCTACTGATTCAGATGCTTTACCTCCTATTATGAAGTCATACTTGGATGTATGTGTTTACGTGATCATGTCAGATACTCAAGTGAGAGAAGAGCGCCTGATGGCTCGGCTTGATGCAAACGTTGTTGAAGCAATGGCAATGGAAGATTATATGATGGCTCAGTTTGCAAGTATCAAGGATGCTTTCTTCGCACAAAAGGCTTCGAGCTTTAATTTTGATTTTGACGATTTCATTGCCCATCCTGATCCATGTCCATCCCACCTACAATAGCATATCATGAATTTCATCATCATTATTGCATCATATCATGACTTTTATTTATATTTTTAGTTAAATGTTATCATCTTTACTACTTTGGATATTTTGACTAGTTTAGTCCTTTTTTGTTGATAATATTTTGTATGGCATGTTTTTGGTTGTTTATGTTTATTTTCATGATAATTTTCTATTCAATATTATCTTTATCTTGATGTCTCTTCTTATCTTGCAATTGTTTGAAGTTATGTTACTTGTGCTTTGTGTGCGTATGCAGTTTTCTGATTTTAAAATAGCTCAATGAGTATGGCATTTCTAATTGGTTTTCCATTCTATCATGAGTTAGTCTGATTTCATGTTATCTGTTTTTTCCTTTCTCTTTTTGATATTTTTCAAAGGGGATAAGGTTAAGAGATATTATTGTATTTATGTGCATTAAGTGTTTAATGCACGGGGAGCTTAAGAGCTCAAGAGGTGCTCATAGATTTCAAACAAGTGTTGTATCATTTGTTTTATCTTGATCAATAAACTTGGAATCAAATTTCTATTTTCACTCATACTCAAATAATCAGCTCAAATCAAATCAATAATATCTCAAATTTACCAAACATCAAAAGGGGGGAGTGAAATTGCAATCGGTATCATTTTATTGCGATGTTATGTTTAAATTTTATTTATGGCTTATTGTAAGTCACTTATAATTTGTTTGTTTCGATTATTCGATTAGATGTTGTTGTAACTGATTTTTAAATCAGAGTCGTCACCCTTAATTTTTATCCTAAGGAAGAGAGTATAAAGGAATAACCCTAAAATTTTTCAGAGATTCTAGTTCTGACTCGATTCTAGATGAAGGGAAGGTGTTAGGCGCCCCTCATCTACCTTATTCACAAGAATACTAGGTTTAGAAGCGCAATTTTTAGAAATAAGGCTTTAATTATTTATTATGAGAACTCACCACGATTTTAATCGTATGTGTGATACGGTGGGAGAACTGACTTGAGGTTTTGCGTTTGTGTTTGCAATTGTGCGGTTTAGCAAGAGTCGCCACCTACTTTTTATTTTATCCAAAGGAAAGGTCAAAAAGCACAGGAAAGACCGTTGAGATGTTTTCTTGGGTTCGGGGGGTAGATAATGAAAAGGGAAGGTGCAAGCACCCTTTTCATCCATGGTTTTCCATGGGCTCTTAGTTACTTGGTTATATCACTTGCTTTTTCTTTTCAATTGTTTGAAATGGTGCTTTGTGTGTGTGGTTTTGAAAATGCTTTGAAAAAGAGGCCATTGTTGTGGCAACCTTTGTAATGATTCTTGTTTGAATATATACAAATGTGTTTGTCTTTTGAAAAGATATTTCAATGTTTGAAAGTTTGTTTTGGGAAATTGTGTTGTGAAGTGTGTTTGAAAATGGAAAGGATGTTTTGCAAGCTTTTGATCAAGTAACTAAGAGTTGTCTACCCTATTTTACTCAAAGATCTTTCCTATATGTTTTTAACCCTTTTGACATTGTTGTTTCACCATTGCATTTGGTGAACAACCTTGTGTTTGGATGTTAAACGGGACAGGCGCGGGTCATCACATACAATCATTGAAAACAACTTGTGAGGCGCTCTAGCAATTTTGTAAGGGACGGGATCGTTTTATCGAAGGCAACATCGAGGGTCATCGAGGGACTACGATCTTTGTTTATCGAAGGGGCATTTTCTAGAGTGTCTCATATTCGAGGGACATGATTGCATTTCCGAGGAAACAAGCGAGGTTACCCTAGAGGTGCAAGTGTGAATTGTGTTTGTCATTTTCATGCATTTAGATCTTGTATTAGGCCATCTAGTGATTGCTTTTGGATTTTCGCATACAAACCCTAATCTCTAATCATGGCATATTTGAAAGCATAAAGTGCGAGAATTAAAAGTCTAAGCTATTACAAAAGTATCCGGGGATGGGGGTACAATTATTTACAAATGGGGATAAATCTCACAAGGATAACAATGTCCAAATATCAAGTGTTACAACCAAATCGAATTGTCGCAATTCAATATAAAATTATAACAAATGAAGAAATCAATAATATTATGAGATGCATGTATTTATTTACAAATAAACAAATAAAAATCTATTCTAAAAAGAAAGATTAAAAATTATTATTATTCTTTGTGTTTTATTAATTATGCAAATAAAAAGTTTTAAAGAAAGAAAATTAGTTAAATAAAACTTCTATTATTTTTGGTGTTTTCATTAATAAAAAAAAGAGTTTAAAGAAACAAAATTAATTAAATAAAATTTCTATTATTCTTGTATTTTATTAATGTGTGTGAAAAGAATAAAACGATTTAAAACAATTAAGAAAAATCAAATTATTAGATATTATTAGTATTATTATTAACTAAAAGAAAAACAAAATGAATTAATAAAAAAGGTATTTTAAACAAAAGAAAAGAAAAGAAAATGAAGTGAGTTAATAGGTGGGCTTTAGGGCTTGAAATGGGTTTAAGGCCCAAAACAAAAACTTGAAGAAGAATAAGGAAAAGTCAGAAAGGATGGGGGTGCAGTTATCAAAATCAATGGGCTTAAGCTGTTAGTGGGGAGAAGGCCCAAAACAAGGTTTTTGTACAATTTGTTAGGGGTTTCAGCATTTAGGGTTTGTGTGTTTGGTACACAGCGGCGCCGTTTCTCTTATTTTCCTCTTCATCTCTCCCAAACAAACGCTTCTGATCTCCCTCTAAACCTAAGCCGCTAGAGCGCCACCCCTCACTCTCTCGTCTCCTCACAGTGTCTAGTGGTTCTAATGTAAAGCGGTATGGTTCGATTCTCTTTTTAGGGTTTCACAGTTTCGTTGTTTGATTCGCTTTGTTCTAGTTTGCTTGCATGTTCATTTTCATTTTTTAATCTATGGTATTATGTCTGAGATGCAGCAAGAGTTTGAGAAAAAACTGTACCTTGGGGATTTTCTGGGAAGAAAATGGAGAGGAGAAAAGGGTGAGACGGAGGCGCTCCTTGGTGGCTTAGAGGCGGAGGAAGAGGTGAAGGCGAGTTTCTTGTATTTCTCCTTTGTTCTTTAAGATTTGAATGTTGTTTGATGATGAAATATTTTTGAAAACTTGTTGTTGTTGATTGTTGATGATGATGTATTTCTGAAACTTTTCCTTGGCTTCTGAAACTATCTTCCTCTTTGTTGATGATGATGTTTTGAAACTGATTTTGTTGGTATTTTTCGTTGATGATGATGTATTTCTGAAACTTGTTTCCTTTTGCTTCTGAAAACCCTTTTCCTCTCTCTTGGCTTTGAAGGTTAATGATGATTTTCTGAAAACTCTGATTTTGATGTTGATTGTTGATGATTCAATGTTCTGAAACATCTTGTTTTTTGTTGTTGGTGAATGATTTCTGGAACTTTGGGTTGATTGTTTATGATGATATGTTTCTGAAACTTTATTTTGGTTTGTGGATTTTGTTGAAACTGAGTTTGGTTGTTCACAGTTTGGGATCTTGAAATTGTTAACAGTTTTGGGCTATGCAGTTTGGTTTGCTTGAAACTGTTAAAGGTTTTTTAGGTTTTTGGGAGAGTTGCAGTTTGTGCAGGTTATGCTGTTTGTGTAGCTTGCAGTTTTTTGGCTATGCTTTGCAGGCTTTGTGGTTATGCAGGTTGTGTTGCTTCAAGCTGTGCAGCTTGGCAAGCTTGTATATGTTTTTTTCTATTTGGTTCTCATGGTTTTGGAGTTTGTTGCAGTTTGTGCAGGTTATGCTGTTTGTGTAGCTTGATAAGTTTGGCTATTTTGATAACAAGGTTTGGTGGTTTGAGTTGTGTGTTTTGATTTGCAGTTTGGTGATGTTTGAAACTATTAACAGTTTGGCTAGCTTGGTTCTGTTTTGGAATTGGTTTGGATACTTTGTGAGTTTTTTAGGCTTGGCTCCATGTTCTCTCTTCCTTTCAAACTGTCATTTGATAGTCTTATATCTTTTTCTTGTTTGTCACTTGTGACAGGCCTTTTTCCAAACTATACACTTTAAAAGGTGATATCCTTCTCTCTTTCTCTCTCCATGAAACAAGCATTTTTGCTTTTTTTATTATATTCTGAAAAGTTTGCCTTTGTCTGGAAAATGATGATAGCTGTGACAAGTCTTTTACTTGTCAATTGGTTTACCTCCTGATGTTTACTTTTGCCTGCTGCATTTTTCTGCTTTCATGCTGCATTGCTACATTTGTACAGTTTGCATCCAATTTGTTTTGTAACTCAGTTTGGGCAATTTGTTTTGTAGCTCAGTTTGGGACCTTGCTTGCTATTCGTTACAACAGGTTCTTTACTTGTGCTGCTTGTACAGTTTGGCGCCTGTTGCATTTGAAGCTCAATTTGCTTTGTATGCAATGTTTTAGTTTGGCTTATGTTTGACAGTTTTGGCGCCTATTGCATTTGAAACTCAGTTTTCTTTGTTTTCAAAGTTTTAGTTTGGCCTATGTTTGCATTTGAACCAATTGCTTTTGTATGCTTGCATTTTTATTTTTTACTTTTCTCTTTGTGAACCAAGAAGAGCAATCTTCTTGTGATTTGCAAAGAGAAAAAATAAAAACATGATGAATAATAGCATTCTGATTCCGGACGACAAACTTTAATGATGACTTTTTTCCTTTCTTTTTCATTTGAAAATTCTTTTCAATTAACTGTGCTAATCTTCTTTTCCTTTGTCTTTTTCATGTGAGTGCAACTTGGACGGCGACAAAGCAGTAGAAGCCGGAGACCTTGAGCATGGGAGCATTGAAGCTTAGGCTTAGACTTAGATTAGATAGATAGATTTTTCCATTAATTGTAACATTTACTTTTTAAATACTATAAGTTGTAAAACTTACAATATTCAAATAATAAATTATTTTTGTAACAACATTTGGAATGAATGAAGAAAACTTTTATGAGATCATCTGATAATCCAATAAAACTTTCTACTGTCAAATACTCTTGCCATTCTTTCTTCAAGTCTTCACTGATTATTTAAGATTCTCAAATCAAAATAATTGAAACTGCATTTCA